GGGCCATTTTGTTTCCAAACTTTCCACGAAAATATGTGATACTGAAATTCAATATTTTTGAATTTTTTATTCTCAACCCTCAATCGTCTTCCTGGTATTCAAATAATATATGAACTCACGTATATGAGTTTTATTAATAATATAACCTATTCATATTCGATACATCACTATCTTTTGGTTACACTTATAACTTGTAGGGTACTTAACATTTGACTTTATATAGGACATAGGTACTATAATATATAAAATATAAAATCAATGGCTATGGTACAAATGGCAATATGTGAAAATCTAATAAAAAAAATCTAGTAATTTATTTTTACTCCAGGTACCTATTAAGTATTTAGTTACCACTTACCATCATATTACCATATTAGTTATAAATTTATTTATTCATTAATTAATTAAATGTATATACGGCTATCTGCCCTTAGTTACATATCAATATACAGTGAACAAATGTCATAATAATATGCATAATTGTGTTATTATCTATAAAATAAAATATAGATGTTTATTACTTTTTATTTAAAATTGTATTTTTTTATAAATGTATTGTTGTACATTTTAATAAAATGCAGGTCCACACACATTTTTATTGTATATTACAACAAGTATAAATTATAAAAAAACTTAGTATTTTAGCCGCTTTTATTTTTGTAAAAAAAAAACATAATTTTATAGTTTTTATATATGGCTGGGTTGAAGTGGTCTGCAGCTTCCCCCTGGCATTCACCACTGGCACTGTATCTAATATTATTAATGTATAGCAACTGGCTTTAATTTTTAGTTCAAGTGTGTATTATTAAGTTAATAAAATTATGAAAAAACCTCAATCCCACTTTAAATTATGTTTTAGACCTTAACACAGTGAAAGTCTCGTGTGATAGTTCATCGTCGAATGATGTCGAAGCACAGTCAAAACATACCTCAAGTATATTACAGTTTATTTTTAAATAATAACTATATCCTAGGCACAAATGCACAATGCACATTATAGACTATAATAAGTAATAACTACACAGGTTTTAAATATCAGGCACAGTTTTACGATAGTTTTCGATAATTTACATAGAACGTAAATCATCGAATATCCCACCTACCTTTGTATATTTAAATGCATCCAAATTAAGGACTGGAACCGAACCTAAAAGAACAGGTTCTGGAATCGGAACCTTTAAAATATTAAGAACCGATACCGGGACCGAAACCTTTATTTTAATGAATAAAGTAGGTACCAGAACCGAACAGGAATTTTTAAATTCAATAGGTTCTCTTAGGTTCAAAAACCAATCATATAATACTGTTTTGTGTTTAAACTATGTATGATCATATGAGTTTTCTAATATTTCTCATATTATTAATTAAGCCCACATTCCGGATAGGTATGTAAAATTACTATCCTTTTAGGTACCTAAATTATCTGGAACTGATACCTTTTTTTATCAAAAAACCAGAACCGAACTGGAACAGTTATTTTATTTATGGAGAACCAGTACCGGAACCGATACTGATAAATTCAAAAGGTTCCAGTCCTTGGATTCCAAATTCTATATTATTAAATACGGTTAAATAAAATTAATTCTTAAATATTATTTTGATTAAATTTGTTTAATTAGGGCATTTTTTTTCATACATTCATAACCTACTGCCATGAATTTGGAGAAAAATACTTTTTAATATACCTAGTGTTATTCGTCAATTGCTTATACACATTTCTACATTCCACTCTAAATGCTGTCTTCTGATAACTCTAATGTAACTTTGATGTATTATGTTGTCATTGACCGATTTGAAATCGTGGACTGTGAACACGGCACACGCTAAAATAGCATACAGTAAAAGTACAGGTCGCTAAATAAATAAAAATCTATAAAGAAAATTGTACAATATGATTTTAAACTACAGTATAATTTAAGAGGTCTTATATTATAATTGTAACAGTATATTGATATCGGTCGATGTTTATTCACTCACGCCATAATCAAAATTAGATTTTTATCGTGTAAAACGATTAAATTAAAATGTGTTCAAAAAAACCCCGTAGGTACCCACGACTCAAGTAAATATAAAAAAACTATCAGGATTAAAATTGATCGAGGTTATTTTATTATTTATATAAACGTGCCTACCTATTACACGTGCGTGCATATTTAAAATGTGCAATTAATGAACTGTGAGATTGTTTCATTATTACAGTTTTACGGTTTTTTCAATCACTCCGTACATAGGCACCTACCAATAATCCTAAAAAAAAAAGCTCCTAAAGTAATGACAATACAGTTTCATGAACTGTTGTAATATATAACAGGTGTATATACACTATGCATACTCGAATAAATTGTCTCCCGACCAAGTTACAGAACTGTGCGTACCTACACAACTAACTACTAAGTACGTTTATTAAAAAAGTTTTTATCGGTGAATAAATTGGTTTCAACTTTTTTATTTTCATTCAATGTTTTTAGTAAATAAACAACACCATTACACTTTTGTTGTACTCGCTAATTATTTTCACTACGTCGTAATTGAATAGAGTTTTGTAAGGCAGTTACGATGCACTGAGCATTTTTCATAATATTTATTCGTACACCTAGTACTGCAGTGCGCTCTAGTATTTATACTAGTAACTGGTAAGTATAAACGCCTCCAACAGATTTCGAAACCGAGGTAAAAGCTAAAAAAATAACATTAAAAACTTGGTAACTGAATGTTTACCTTGACTAATAAACTAATAAATATTTTGTTTTTAACGTTTATAATATTGACTATTGAGTGTAAAATATATATTTATTTTTTAACCTAATTTTACATCATGTTGTATGCTTTTTATATATTTTTGTTTAAAACCAGAGAACGTTTTCCATGAAATTTGTAATAAAATTAATTTTACATAAACAATTTATAATACCTAGTATAACGAATAACAATGGACATTATTTTCATTTTCGGCTACTCTAAGTAGTGTAGGATTTTCCGTAGGTTTCCGATTGCTTGAGGAAATCACATTTCGCCAATTAACTTTTTGTATGAATGTTATTTGATAGTTGAATGCAAAATATTATATTTAATTTTGATTTTAGTTTCCAGTAAATATAACAATCTATTGTATTATAAACAAAATGTAAATAATGACTATGAAACTAAGAGTGAAACATTGAAACCTTAGTGTAAAGTTGCAGTTATTTTCGTGTAGATTTCTTGATAATAAAAATAGACATTTTTCAATTTGATATACAATACCAACAAATAAAATATAATAATGGCAATTAACAACCAATTTCAAATATATATAGTATTGTTATTGTTATATGAAGCTTTTGAAAACATATTATTCTTACTCAGTTTATATTTTGTATACAGTACCTATACAGTATTACACATGTAAAAAAAAACTGGTAATGGTTTTACAAAATTATAATAGGTACTGTCTGCACTCTGCATGAGTGATATATATTTTATACATACTACCAAACATTTTTTTTGAAAATTGTATGAACTATACATAATATGTTTTTTATAATAAAGTAAAGAGATATCGAAATCATTAAATGATTTATACAATTATTAACTAATCTTAACTTTACATTTTCAGTGTGTAGGTACCTTTCTTGTGAAATTAAACATATTATAGATATTACATAATAAAAACGATTTAAAATATGTTATAATGTACCTAATTACTGTTTTTAGAAACTCATAGGAGCTCTGAACTTTTATAATATTTTTTAGTTGCTCATTAACCAAATGTATTAATTAAATATTCCTAGGTACCAAGATTTGATGTTTTTTTTAACAACAAAACCAATGTACAGAAAACTTTGTGGAAATTGAATTTAATATTTAAAATTACATTTCATCTACAAACTATCATATTTATATGTATTGGATACCAATATACAGTAATAAAATATTTACTTTATTTATATTCCATATTCCAATTTTTAAAACCACAAATTTCTTATAGATATTATATCATAGATATAGAATATGGATCTATAAACCATTATAATACAAATGAGTAGTTATGGCGTAATTTAATGTTGGGAAGGGTGTCAAAGAAAGTATTTAAGTCGTTTTGAGTTATAAAAGCCCACTTATAATGGAAATATATTTTAGCCGATTCAACTACGTCTCCATACATGAAAAAAGAATAGTTTTATATTCTATCTAATATATTGTTATTATTGTATATATAACTTAATATTTTCTTACTCATATCGTTGATCTAAGTTCGTACTTATCATTTATACCACTAACTATTTTATATTTTTTAAAAATGTATAGGTACACTATGATTGGTAGACCTATTAATAATTGTATAAATAAGTACTTATTAAAACGGACAATGAGGCCATTAAATACCAAAATAACGACAGTAGCCACAGGAACTGTTAATTAAATAGGCATGTTGTGGGATGGAAATATTTCCTTGAATCCTAGGTTTTTAACAATTAATAATTTTATTATGATAATATGCCTTTGGTTTTTTGTTTGTAATATGAAAATCAACTGATATATAAGTATTATGATATAAATTTGGATATTATTTAAATTAATTTGATTAAAAAGTGACCATATTGCAAATAGAAGTATAATAATTGTATGGTTAAAACTTAAAAGTATTAAAGTGTAATAAATTACACGTGGCTTACATGTACCTTTATACTTCTTAACCAAAGGTTCGTGATATTATAATCTTAGGAATATTGAGTACCCAAACGTTGTGTAGATTTGAAATACCGATCAGGTTAAAATAGTCAATTATGCTACAACACTAATAGAGAATACTTAGAGTGCGATAAATTGCATTGTATTTTAAATCAAGGAACAAATATTAATTATTTGTAAAACGACTGGTAAAAATGTTGCCATTTAGTATAACCTAAAATAGGTGTGTTTGTATTAAATAATGTTCTCCTGTGTAAATACATATATAGAACTCCTATAAATTATAAAAATAATTACTAATAATAAGTATTATGGTTGTCTGTTCACAGGATCATATAATTCGAGGTCGGTCAATTCATGTAGGTCAAGCAAAAAAACTAGCGTTTTTAAGACGTCACTGTCTCCACGGCCACAGCCACCACCATTATCTTCGCCGAGGGTCATCAAACGCAAATCGAGCGTACAACAACCGACGATATTGACCAACAATCGGCTATCCAGTTCAGGTGAGGTTATGAAGGTAACAATTTTGGAACCACCGTCAAGTAATGATCAGTGCAACTGCAGCCAGTCTGGATATTCAGAACTGCCCGTCGTCAACGGCGTCACGAGCAACAACAATAACAACAACGATAATGACAAAAACAATCAGAAGTATGAAGTATTGGAAACGATTGACTTCGTTAACCAGAAGCAGCAGCAACTGGTGTGCGTAGCTGACTCCGGATCTTCGATAGACATTACAGAACCGCCCACCGTCTACGCCGAGAAGCCAATGCTCGTACTACAAAACGAATGTGATGACACCATTTTATCTGTATCTAGTCCACCAACTCCGTCCACTGCCAACAAGCAGCCAATCGAGAGTGCAAAGCAGATCGAAGGTGACAAAGTTTCATCCATGTCCTGTCCACTGACTCTGTCCAATACCGTCGAGCAGTCAATTGAGAGTTCAAATCAGATTGAAGGTGACAACGTTTCATCCTTGTCCTGTCCACTGACACTGTCCAATACCGTCGAACAGCAAATCGAGATGGTACAGCAGATCGACGGTGACAACGTTTCATCCGTGTCCTGTCCACTGACACTGTCCAATACCGTCGAACAGCAAATCGAGATGGTACAGCAGATCGACGGTGACAAAGTTTCATCCTTGTCCTGTCCACTGACTCTGTCTAATACCGTCGAGCAGCCATTCGAGAGTTCAAAGCAGATCGAATGTGAATACGTTTCATCCATTTCCTGTCCATTGACTCTGTCAACTACCACTGAACAGCAGATTGAGAGAGTACAGCAAATCGAAGGTGATTACGTTTCATCCGTGTCTTGTCCACTGACTCTGTCCACTACCGCCGAACAGCAGATTGAGAGAGTACAGCAGATCGAAGGTGAAAACGTTTCATCCGTGCCTTGTCCAGTGACTATGTCAATTGCCATTGAGCAGCAAATTGAGAGTGAACCACAGATCAAAAGCGACCCAGTCATATCCATTTCCAGTCTATTGTCTCTGTCCATTGTAGTTGAACAGCCGGTGGTGAGGAAGTTGATGGCTGAAGTTGTCGTGGCCAACCACAATAAAGTTTCACCGGTATTGTCGCCACAGCTTCCACTTATGACATCAACCACTTACGAAGAGAACCCGATAGTCCTTAAAGTTGTCTCGCCGTCGCCGCAGCCCAAAGATGGCAATGGTTGTCCAGTTCAATCGAATACGGGTAAGAACCAAACCAAAAGTATGGTAATTTATGTTGTGTGAATAATATTTGGTAGTCAGCAATCGAAGTACCTATGTAATTAGATTTTGTAAAATGAGGGGATACAAAATGATAAAGCTATAAAAAAAAAAATGCTTATAACAATCATACATAAGAATCTAACATTGAGCCAAAGAAGGCTTCAGCACGTTTGGGAATTGTATCCCATTATTTTTTTCTAATTCCGTAACACGATTGAGCACTATATAGTATAGTACATATTTATTATACATAATATAAAGTTACTTTTATGTTCGTACTTTGTTAATTAGGTATAAACCTTTTTTTATATAAGTTGTTTAAAGTAAGAGTTTGAATTTTGCAGCTCTATAAGACTATAAAAAAAACTTAAAATTAAAGTAAAAATCACTAAAAATCTAAAAAAAAAAAAGAACCATAAAACCTGAAAAAAGCACCTAAACAATTTTTTTAATTCAATATTAAAATTTGCATTGGACGTGTATTAGTTTTGTTTTATTATTATATTTTAATACAAATATGAGTACTTAAATATAACTATAATACCTATAACAGGTAACAGTTACATAGCGTAATATTCTAAATTGTAATTAAATACATTAAAATATAATATAAATATATAATACGTATAAAAAATAAATGTATAAAATATTTAAAAATTTAATGATGACAGCCAGTTAACAGTTTTTGGATGTTATAGGTAATATTTTATAATTATTATTTTATATGGCTATAAAAAAAAGGTAAAATTTAATTTTCTACTTATCACCCAACTATTTTTGAAAATTATGTTTTTTACTTTTGATATCTCATTGCAATGAACCATTCATATTTTATAATATTTTCAAATAAGAAACTTTGCAGGCGATCTAATTGTTATGTATTGAGATCTTTTAGATCTTTTAGATCATGTAACCACATTTCTTATCCAAGTTATATTGATTAAATCAAATATATAACGAGATAAAATCGATTGAGCCATGTCCTATTGGAACACATTATATAATATAAAAGTAACTAATAAAATATTTCAAAATACGTTAATTTGGAATACATTTCGAAAAAAAGTTACACAAAACAATGAACTTTAAAATAAAAAAATACCCCAAAACGACCGAAAAATTATTCCTAAAAAATAAAATAAAATTTCAAGCATTGTATTCTAAGTAGTATAGATCGAATTTATAGCTGACAGTCTGGTATAGCTTTGTTTCATACCAATAGAACAAAAATCAAATGCCTACAAAATCCAAACTCTATTTATAAGTTACAGCTTAATAATATATTATATTATGAACAAAACCAAAAAGTAATATCTGCGATTAAGTTTGATATCCATTAGGTACCCACTACCCATGTATTATGAAACATTGAAACAATTAATAATTTTATTATGGTAATATGCCTTTCGTTTTTTGTTTTTAATATGAAAATCAACTGATATATAAGTATTATGATATAAATTTGGATATTATTTAAATTAATTTGATTAAAAAGTGACCATATTGCAACTAGTAGTATAATAAATTGTATGGTTAAAACTTAAAAGTATTAAAGTGTAATAAATTCCACGTGGCTTACATGTATTAGTTCTTAACCAAAGGTTCGTGATATTATAATCTTAGGAATATTGAGTACCCAAACGTTGTGTGGATTTGAAATACCGATCAGGTTAAAATAGTCAATTATGCTACAACACTAATAGAGAATACTTAGAGTGCGATAAATTGCATAGTACGATTTACGACCTACCAAAATGTGAATTAACTTCGATAGGAATCAATGAATCATTAATAGTTTTGGCCCTATCATATGCAAATATGATATTAAAAACGCACATCAAATATTATAAACCCTGATTTACCTATATTATGCACAGTGTTATATTTTGGGAACTACTTATTAGCATAATTTCTCCTGCCAACCCACAACGTCATGCTCGCCTGGTCTGTTTAATCTGTAATATTATCATTGAATCAGTGGTATCTGGCTATAGGAAACCACCCATCCCCCTCCCCACAGCTGGAACTAGCCTACATACCTACTATTTGCTACTTTTTCGTACGGCACGGCCCTATCTTAGGTTATCTTATAAGTTAAACGGTTATTTTATTATAGAAATCATATTATATCGATTCAAAGTTTGGAATAGTTGGTTACAATTTGGACATTTGCAAAGTTGAACGTTTTAATTTCATATGAATTTATATTTTATAAGAACAGTATTGTAATATTCAAATACATAAATTATCAATACGTAAAATTAACATGTGAATGCAATAGAGAACTTTAAAAAAATGTCATCAAAATCGGCATCATGAAATATTTTTTCAAATTGATGATAATATCATCGTTTTCAATTAGTCTTGTTTTAGAAATGCGTTAAATTCCAAATAATCGGCTTAAGAAAATTATGATAAATGATCAAACCAAAATATCAACAGTGACCTTTCGATTAAACTGTAAAATAATCATATGTATCCTGCTGGCCATGCAAAAAAAAACAAAGACCCCCATAACAATATAACACTATATTCATCATTGTGGACTGGGCATACTCATTCATAACTCATAACAAAAGATTATAATATTATTATTTAATCAACAGGAATGATGGTGCTCTCAGATAAACCTGCGTTGTCCAACTACGAGATGAAGATTAAAGAAATAGACAACAAATTAATTTCGTATTCGAAATCGATACTGTGCACTGTGCTGGTCGTCGTGCTCCTTCGCGTCTTGTTCTGATACAATACGCTCTAATTTGTTTCAACTATTGTATTATAAGATTTCTATGTCGTCCATTTATTATATATTATAATATTACTTACGTACGAGTAAAGTTTTCCACCAACCGGTGAATCCAAGGAATCGATTTTTAAACACAGTCGTCATCATTTAGACGGATGTTTTTAAAAATCGATCGTCCACGGATGACCCTCAGTAAACGTTACTCGTGCGTACTGAGTGATAATAATAATAATTAACTTCGCATCCTAGGGATCGAAATTCTTTATTCATATTATGTTATATATAATTCGATGTGATTTTTATTTTTTTGTTTTTCCAATTACCTTAAGAAGATTTATATTACTGTTTAGTTTATGTCATCACGATGTTTATACATCTTATAGTTTATACAATAATTATTATTATCATTATATCTTATTGCTGAAAGTCCATTATTCAACCAAATAAAATATAGTTTTAGGCCAGTTTAAGTTAAATTATCGTCACTACCATATACCTATTATTATTATAATATGCCATTCGCGTGCACTAGCACTGTGGCTATTATTTATATACTATATTTTTTTACATTGCGAATTATTTTTATTTTTATTTGAATTATTGTACTATATTAATTTATATATTATCATTATGATTGAAAACCAATTCTTAGTCATAAGTAAATGTATTGCATACAAATGTTATAAATACAGGATTTCAGTTTTAAAAACAAAAAAAATCTTTACCAAGCATATTATATTATGTTTGTTGTTAATTTTTTTTTTGTAGTTAATTTACGTGTTTCCTGTATGTATAACGTGAGTTTCAAAAATAATTTTTCACTATACCAATATTTTACTACATATTATTATACTATTTATTTGATTGTCATTTATTATTAAAATCACGCAGAAATACTAAGATATAGTTGACGAGTTAAATGTCCATTATCTAATGAGAATTGATTTATTATAACATTTAAAGTTAAGAAATCTATTTAATGATTAATCGCATATTTATTATATAAGCCAAAATTAAAAGTTTGATGTTTTACAAAACATTTGAATGGGTATAACTTATACCATGTATCGCTTGAACAGTAAAAATGTGTTTTATTAATAATTTTTTTTGTTTCATAGACAATATTAATATATACTAAAGTGTTCTACCAAAAAAAGTGTACCTAATCAAATATTACTAAACCTATTATTATTGTCATTGTATTGGTGATTTGTATTTTCTATATTTTGATTATTGGGTATATCCTGCGCCTACGTATAAAAAAATATATTTACATACAATTAAATTAAAATGTGTTTACTTTTTTTTATAAACATTAAATAGAATCATTGAGACATTGAGCAGAGTATAAAAAAAATCCAAAACTCCTAAATGTTAGACTGACAAAAATTAAAATTGTTATTGAAAAGGTTATATAGCAACTAACTACCTACCTACCAAGTAGGTACGTAATATTAGTTGAATAATATTCAAGTATTAGTTTATCGATTAGTAATTCAAATATTAAATGAAAAACTTTGGATTTTAAAAGTATAATTTATAAATGTGATTATAACTTTCATGTGCATACACTATACATAATATTTCATGTTCAAACCTTTCAATGTTTACTTAAAATGTAACTATTAACGTTGAGTCAACATTTCACAACTGGCTACCAACTTGTATGTGATAATAGTCTTCAGTTGTAGCAATAATATACTAATGTTTAATTTATTGTTATAATATTATAGAATACATCATTAACTATTATAACAGTAAGTTATAAATCAATACCGACCACCGACGTATATTTACCGTTGTAGGTATAGTGTGAATAAGTTCATTGAATACTGATATGAATAGCTTAAAATTAGTCTAATTACTTTCAAAATTGCATTATACCATTTATACCTATACAGAAAATAACGATACACATAAAATCTAAAAGTTTTAAAGGTATTTAATTAATAGTTTTTTTTTTTTTTAAATAGATACAACAAAATAAGAAAAACCTGTAGAGAAACAAATATTATTTTCCGTATAATTAAATAACATATTTTGTCAACATTTTTTCTTCAAACTTTTATAAAATAAATTATGACTAGGTACCTACTTACATCGTTTCGATATTTTCGAATTTCTTAAATAAACTTATACAAAATCATGTATTAAGTCATTTTCAAGCTTTATGTATTAAAATTCAAAATTAACTACTAACTAATTTCCACATTTTCATAGTTTTGAGGTAAACATTTCAGATGTTTATAACTCAGAAAGAGACAAAACATATTAAAATATTGATTACAGTCAAAATTAATTTAGCTGTATACTAATTGAGTCCTAATACCTCAACAAGAAAAAAAAAGTATACTAATTGGGTCAGAGGATAATTTATTTTGAGTGAAATATAAATTAAACAGTAATTTAGGTAGTACCTATACGTACCTATATATATGGAGACAACTACGTGATATCGTTCATATAATTTTTATGACTTTCGTCAGATAATAATAAAATATAATAATATACATATAGGACGGGAATTTTGATTTTAATCTCTACCGTAGCTAATATAATAATATGTTACAGTCTACCGATATCATTATATTAGACGTACACTCTAGTTTACAAAGTACACTGAGCACCATGAATGATGTTATGTTAAGTTTGGCAATCAACACAAGTAGTATGATTTGGTATGTTCAGCAGCTCCTCCCCCTTAAATTTTACATGTAAAAGCATAGGCTTCTCTGTATAGGCAATTCGTAGTACAGGCTCCTCCCAAACTTGTATTAATTACTCAATATAGGCAACCCGCAACACACATAAACTCGTCACAAGCCACCCGATCCAACACGTGACCGACATATATTTTATGCCTTCCCCTTCAAATACATTACCTCCCCTTTTATTTACCCTTTTAAAAAATATATACAATATACTGATGTACATTTGTATCGACAATATCGAACACTTGTCCGACATATATTTTACCCCTTCCTAATCAAATATATTACCCCTTCTTATTTTCCCTTTAAAAATAAAAATATATAATATTCTGATGTAAATATGTATCGACTATATCATACATACTAATAATATAATATAAGGTAACAACATAACACATATCTAAAAATATTATGCCATTTTCAGATTATAATCCCATTCGAATAAACATCTCGCTAAAGCATACACCGCGATGTATCTCAAATATATTATAATATAGTTTACATATATAGGTACATACTTACATAATTTATATCCAAATAATAATTATATACTCATCATTATCACAAACTCCTGAACATATTATACAATTTACATAATATATACGATACTTAGGTATATTTATACATATAAATATGATATGACCAAACACTTAATAACTATAATATAGGTACTATGAAACACACGATACCATACGGTACTCATCAGTTTTCATTCTGAACACACGCTCAACATATATATATATATACCTTATCATACATACAAGCATGCATACACACACACACACACACACACACACACACACACACACACACACACACAGGCATATCGCCTCCGCTATATATCATTGTATAAGTTATAATATCGGAAAATTAAGAACTATTAACAATATCTCTCATTTCAGTAGATAGGTACTTTATGCGGTTTATTACAAAAATCTCGAAATAGGTACCTACACAATAATTAAAGTTACATCTGTAGTTATATAGTAACATCTTTATCAATAAAACATTTATAAATCTTCATGTTATTAGTCATTTTCCATACAGACTCATGCTACAATGAGCATATAGGTGGGAACGTACATACATTCTTATATCTTTGTATATATATATATATACACAATACTTTTAGGCCAACCTATCGTGAATAATATTACAGATACTTACTTATATTTTTAATCAATCATATATACATTGAAATGTTGTATGAGATTACATTAGACTAAAATCATAGCTTATAATATATACATACATGGATTTAAGAGAAAAAATAAATCTCTTACTGTTATTATTGTACTATTATTCGTCAAGTGCAGTGAGAATTATATAAAAATATAATTACTTATTACTAATACTTATTTTACAATAAGTAAAAAATATTATAATCGAGCCACCACCTATTTCTACAGTTACATGAACATGTGAAACATAGTACGATATGCAAACCCAAATTAAATCATATACCGATATGTATATTTGAAGATAACGGTGAAGATGAAGTAACCTTTCATATTTTTTTTTTTATTAAATTGTTTTTTTTCAGTCTAACATACAGGAAACTAACCTCACCTAACCTACACGAAACTAACCTAGTGTTTCTTTTTGTTAATATTTCGAATTTTATTAAGATAGTTTTATCAAGATCTGTGTGGTATCCATATACGTTGAGGTATACATATGTTTATATTTGCGAACAATGTGTTTATATTTACGATCAATAGGCTGATATTTACGATCAAAATGGTAATATTTATGGCAACTATAGAAATATAATATTTATCACATGGATACATCTAATAGGATTTTTATTTGAAAATCTGCTGATTTTAATATTAATTTGAAGTTTGTGTATATTTTCATTGAAAATATGATATTATTATACAAATATGTGTACTTATCAATTATTTAGAGTAAAGTCGAATACAATAAAAGCTATATTTATATCAGCGTTGTAGACTGGTAAAATTATAAATTTTTGTGATATCTTTATTTATTACGTATCGTCTTATTAAGATAGTTTTATCAAGATATATATAGTGTCTATATGTGTTGGAGTAAAAAATATGTTTATATTTACGATCAGTATGTTGATACTTACAACGAATATAGAAATATAATAGTATGAATATATATTATACCTATATAAAATCAAACTATGACTAATTATTTAATATCTACTGAAAATGGCAAGATATAACCTAACTTGTGATGGTAATATACATGTGCTTTACATTATTTATAAAGTAAATAGAATAATGTATAAAACATTTATGTATCTAGTCGAAT